ACACAGAGTAGCATGATAATGTATTGGATAAATAACATATAAACTATTAAAAAAAAAGTAATCTTTCAAAGGTAAAAAACTATTGTGCTGTTATTGCAATAGTAATTTCACTATCACAATACTATTGAGATAGCCTTTTTGACTCAATGGTATTTCTTACTTAACATCATCTGCAATGAGTTGCTTAAAATGTTTAACATGATAATTGATTTTTGCATTATTTTTTTAAAGAGGTCATGATGGCTCAGCCAGTCAGGGCATTGGCCTATGTAACCTCAGGTGAAGATGGCAGTTTGTATTTCTCAGGAAGCTGGGCAAAATACAGATCTGTGCAGATGTGGTTGGGTTCTTGGGCAAGACATTCAATTCAAGTTACTCTTGATTGCATGTGATGGGCCTTCCATATCTTGTTCAATGAGGTAGCCACCAGCTACTACAAGGAAACCTTGCCTCAAAGTGACTGTTTGTTAATGTGCAGTACATTAGGTCACCTAGTAAACCTAGTGCTGTTGGACTAAGACTCCTAATCTAGGTTATCTCCCTTGTTTAAAGTGTGGTAAATGTAGGTGGGCAAATATTTATAAATCAAAGTTTGATGACTCGTAATTGTCAAAGTTCAGATTTATTGAAGTCAAGATGTCTGATTGATAGGCCCAGACTGTTGATTTAAACCTGGTGTGATTAACGCATTTGTTCTGCAGTAAGCCCAGGGGATCTACATAACCTCATTAAGTAACTCAAGTCAGGTAGAAGGACTTGTTATATAAACTTTATGAAAAAGGCAAATAGAATTTGTTGGAAATTCTGCTCAAAGCATTGGCAATGCAGGAATAACTAGGGATGAAAATGGAATTCAATTTTGATTACATTACTCTAAGCCTATAAGATTTGCACAGCTTAAAATGGTTAAACTTATAACAACAGGTGCATGGACTTGCTAATTTTCCTCATTAATGTGAGAACCTGAGTTATTGTAGCTTTGCATTAAGTCCATCTATCTTTCTGTCAGACCTATATTTTGACCTTCGACCTATAGGTACTTTAAAAAAAAGTTTTCCAAGCTTATCTACTACATTTCTAGTCACCATAACTTTGGAACCTCATACTAAGGCTATTGTGTTCACCTTCATGAAACATTGTGTCGGTGGGGGAGGTGGGCTGTAACTCACTAAATTGATTTGTTTCAGATAAGCATGGTAAACCTCATACTACAATCTTGCCAGAAGAGCAGGAGATAAACACATTACCTTGCTCCAACTCAAAGATTAATTGGCATACTACAGGGCTATATATTAACATGTGTTGGTATTTGTGTTGTGTGGGTTTAGTGCAGGTAAAATATGGTACACCTTCATATTGGTTTACAGAGTACAGAGTCACAGTTTGTACATCAACAAAGATTAGGACTGCAATCAGTAGTCAGTACATTTGTACTGTAAATAGTGACAGGACAAAGTTTGATCTGTTATAGAACTAAGATAGGGAAATTACAGAATTATATAACAGTAAACGTCCTCAGGTCTATTATAGAAGTAAGATAGGGAAATTACAGAATTATATAACAGTAAACGTCCTCAGGTCTATTATATAACTAAGATAGGTGAATTACAGAATTACATATCAGTAAACGTCCTCAGATCTATTACAGAAGTAAGATAGAGGAAATTATAGAATTACATATCAGAGTAAGGGTCTCAGGTCTATTACAGAAGTAAGATAGAGGAATTACAGAATTACATATCAGAGTAAGGGTCTCAGATCTATTACAGAACTAAGATAGAGGAATTATAGAATTACATATCAGAGTAAGGGTCTCAGATCTATTATAGAAGTAAGATAGAGGAATTATAGAATTACATATCAGAGAAAGGGTCTCAGATCTATTACAGAAGTAAGAAAGAGGAATTATAGAATTACATATCAGAGTAAGGGTCTCAGATCTATTACAGAACTAAAATAGAGGAATCACAGAATTATATATCAGAGTAAGGGTCTCAGATCTATTACAGAACTAAGATAGAGGAATTATAGAATTACATATCAGAGTAAGGGTCTCAGATCTATTATAGAAGTAAGATAGAGGAATTATAGAATTACATATCAGAGAAAGGGATCTATTACAGAAGTAAGATAGAGGAATTACAGAATTACATATCAGAGTAAGGGTCTCAGATCTATTACAGAAGTAAGATAGAGGAATTACAGAATTAAATATCAGAGAAAGGGTCTCAGATCTATTATAGAAGTAAGATAGAGGAATTACAGAATTACATATCAGAGTAAGGGTCTCAGATCTATTACAGAACTAAGATAGAGGAATTATAGAATTACATATCAGAGTAAGGTTCTCAGATCTATTACAGAACTAAGATAGAGGAATTATAGAATTACATATCAGAGTAAGGTTCTCAGATCTATTACAGAAGTAAGATAGAGGAATTACAGAATTACATATCAGAGTAAGGGTCTCAGGTCTGTTACAGAAGTAAGATAGAGGAATTACAGAATTACATATCAGAGTAAGGGTCTCAGATCTATTACAGAAGTAAGATAGAGGAATTACAGAATGAATTACATTACACTCAGGATATATACAATACAATTAAATAAATTTGTAATATATAATATGATAAAGTGTCTCACCTACACATACCACCAGAATGTATTAAATGCAATTATATAAACTTGTAATATATAATATGATAAAGTGTCTCACCTACACATACCACCAGAATGTATTAAATACAATTATATAAACTTGTAATATATAATATGATAAAGTGTCTCACCTACACATACCACCAGAATGTATTAAATACAATTATATAAACTTGTAATACATAATATGATAAAGTGTCTCACCTACACATACCACCAGAATGTATAAAATACAATTATATAAACTTGTAATACATAATATGATAAAGTTAAACCTACATATCCTACAGAAGTCATTGGTCAAGTTTGAGGGAAATACTGAAAAAGTTTTGGCTTGTTATGCGTTAATGAACAACTCAATATGATTAGTTTGTATGAATAGGTTCATGATGGTCAACACTAAATGTCTTTTAACTATATTGGTGTAAGATATGTATCAGACATATCAAGAAATCACAATATACATAGAGGTTGAACTAAAAACTGGATCAATGTCATAAGATACAGGATGATAGACGTATACACATGTAATCAAGTAAATTCAGTCAGGATTTACATAAATTTGATAATTAGCCAATTTACAGCCAGAATATGGTAAGTTATTCAATTTGACTATTGTTACTGAAATAACACCAAAGGATTGATATCTTAACTTTGACACATTCATCAGATGGCCCCTCCTGCAAATTAAATCCTTTAGTAATGTAATTTACGGCTAAGGAAGAGGCTATTTTGTTAACATAGTACAATAGTTTGTAATTCTATTAAACAACATTAGATATGGAAGGGCTTATACTAAACAAAAAAAGAAAGGTAACACTACTTTATTCTGTGATTAATTAATCAACCCCTTTATAAATCCTTACCAATCATGTACGAATAAAGTAATTGATCAATTCTGATAAAACTGCAGTCATGGTTCATTATAAAACTTTGCGTTCAGTTGATGTTATTAGACTGTGAAGGACGTTGGGGTCAATTTCAAAGGTAACACCATTAGTAATGGGTATGGCCACCGTTTGCGAAGTAAACAGCATTGCAGCGTCGTCGCATGGAACCGGCGGATAATTCGAGCAGAGATGTTGTTCCATTCAGCGATTAAGGTTTGGGCCAGTTTGACGGCTGATTTTGACGTTCTCTCACGCGTCGCCCAAGAATGGTCCAGACATGCTCAATCGGTGACAAATCAGGTGATTTAGATGGCCAATCTAACACCTGTACGTTATTCTGCTGCTGGTGTGCGCTGGTGCGTTATCCTGTTTGAAAATAGCACCAACGCCATGGTGTCTTAAGAATGGCAGAACCACTGGTCTTAAAATTTTGTCCCGATATGGAATGCCGGTTAAATTGCCATTTAACACAACAAGACTGGTACGAGTCCCCCCACAAATACCACCCCAAACCATTACACATCCGCCAACAAAGTGGTCCCGTTCTGCGACGCAGCAGTTCGTAAAACGATCCCCTCGTCGCCTCCACACTCAGCGCCTTCCGTCATCGTGTTGAAGACAAAACCTGGACTCATCTGAAAACAGAACATTGTTCCACTGTCGTAAGGCCCAACAACGGTGAACACAGGTCCAGTTCTGATTATTACGGTGACGTTGCAACAAATTGGGTCCAGTGTAGGGACGCCGCGCTTTCAATTGGTAGGCCCTCAACCTGTTGCGGACTGTTTGGGGATACGCACGACGCCCAAACAATGTCCTTGTAGTCTCTACTGCGGTTACGAATCGATTGCGCAAGTGTATTAATCGTATGCGATGGTCATCCCTGGTGGTCATTTTACAGGGTCGCTTCGGGGACGATCGGATATTGACCCAGTTTGGTTTAAATGACTTACTAACTGTCAAGTTGTCTTAACACTGCAACCAAAATGCCGTGCAACTCGACGGCGAGACTCCCCAGTCTGGATCATGCCTACAGCCGTTTCTCTCTGTACTTGTGACAGCCGGGGCATAATGATAAAGTTGATAGATAGCAAGATTGGGTGATTTTGAAGTCCTGAGGATCTAAGGAACAGTTGTCAGTTTGAATGTTTATGAAATTCAAGCGAAGATACAAGTTAGTCGCAGAAAACCTCGTGCAGCTCTTTCGCTAATACAGACTTTCACGCTTGAATGATTTTGGTAACCCCCTTGGATTTTGTAATGTAAAACATTACCATTTTCTAATATTGCACAAACATCATTTTTTTTCACTCATTTACAGGTATTCGCCAAGGAAACATGTTAACCTTTCTTTTTTTGTTGAGTATATTATAACAAGGCATGGGTTTTCCATATCAGCATGATATATGTTACACTTTAATAACCAGTCAGAACTGATTCTATATTTTCCAGAAATTTGATATACAATGGGTTATGGCCTACCTCCCTATACAACCTTGCAGTGGTGGTACTGCTGTTGTCTTGCTGTATGATCTGGGACTGGGAATTCTGTAAAGGACTCACCTCCAGACTCTGGGGTCTAGCTGATACTCTGTCTATACCTGTAGGTAAGTAACTTTTGTATAATCTGAGAATGCTGTAAGGACTTCACCATTAGACTCTGTCTCTAGTCTCTGGAGTCTATTTTCACCTCTAGACTCTGTATAGAGTGGTCAGTGAGATGGTTTTACATAAAGCCTATGAATGTATACAGCAGTCAGTGAGATGGTTTGTCTCAATCTCTGTTCTAGGTTTCCCTGTTGTAATTAGAGCATTCCTAACAAGTTGTGTGGCAGGATTCCTCTTCTTCGTTGCTCTATTGTACATGCGAAGATTCATGCTTCGAACTCTACTCTCATACTCAGGATGGATATGTAAGTATTGATATGATAAAGATTGTTTTTCTCACAAATTCAAATTTTCACAGTTTTGTCAAAATTCATAAAGATAACAAAGATTCAAGGGAATCAGCAAATATGGTGTTTATTTTTCTCTATCAAATTTTTTTTCAAAATTTTTATTTTTGAACTTTTAATCCATTTGCAAAAATTGTGGAAATAACATCCTCTCCAAAATTATAACATCAACAGTAATTATAACATGAAGTTTGTGAAAATTACACCCCTCCAATACTATAACATTATTAGTGTATATAACATGAAGTGTAACCTTGTTAGAAAACCTCCAAATATCAAGATTTGCTTTTTGCTGTACCTAGTTACCTCAGCTTGAAACACATGCTTTAAATTTTGAAGACCAAATGAGTTTGAATACCTCAACATGAAAGATTATCCCATGAAAAGTAATTCAAGTTTATAATATGATATCTGTATCATTTTTTTTGGTGAACACGCAGTCTAAGACACAGTGACCACAATACTCTGGGGTCTGGCTGTATGTAGTATAATATAACATCTGTATTATCTATTTGATAGACGAGCAGCCAAAGACACAGTCAGCGACCACTATACTCTGGGGTCTGGCTGTACGCTGTGTATTTGGTTACCACCCTCTCCTATACAGTTGTCAGCAGTCTCTACCCAGGATGGGTGTGCCATCCCTTGGTCAAACACTTGACACCCTCATCCTCTCTCTTAAACCCTTGTATGGTGAGGACACAGAAAAGTGGGAGAAGATGACAAAAGATCGTCAGGATTTTGAAAAGAATCTCGGCCCAAAGTTACAGAGAGTTTTGGTGCTGAAATCATGGTGGGCCCAGAACTACGTCTCTGATTGGTGGTTAGTAACAATGTTATTGTATTAATCCTGTAATAACCCTGTTGGGCCAACACATTACATTTAACTAGGTACGCTTATTTGAAGGACTGGTCAGATAAAACAAAATGGCAGACAGGCTGCCATCTTGGATTTGATAGTGAAGATTATCACTGCTATTTTCTTGAGAGGTATTTTCGACTTAAAATTCAGAGCAAACACAGAGGAAGGAAGGAAAAAACAGCTTTAAAATGAGAAATAAAGATCAAACAGTTGTGGGTTCGAGGATCAATGTGATCTCTTTTGACCACACCATTTTATAGGGGAAGAGGATGGGGGGAGCTATAGTGTTGTACAGGTATGTGGTCCATTCTGTCCCATGTCACTTCTCAATGTGTTACATTCTTGATAAAAATCTTGAGAACCTCTCAACAGACTTGGTTCATATTTACCCTATAGTATCATAAAGTTCGGTACCATATTTGATTCCAGTTGGCATCGTAACACAACGTATCATGTCTTATGTCTAGTTTATCCGTCATTATTATAAAATTTGTAATTGCTATGATGATATCAGATAAATTGCTTGTTTCAGGGAGAAATATGTTTATCTGAAAAGTCGTAGTACTTTACTGATCAATAGTAACTACTATATCATGGACCAGAGCTACTGGATTGGGTCCAAAATACAGGTCGCCAGGTAAGTCAGTGTTTATTGCTTCTACCTTGGTGATAATACTGAGGACACACAAGGACGATTCTACCTGGTTATAATGAGTCGGCACATCAGTTAATATCTCACAATATTTGTCAAGTGAAAATATATAGATATTGCAATATCATTTTCACTAACACTATATTACAGCAACTTTCAACAATTTTTCAGGGATTCAACTGCAGAACTTTGGATGATTCTGTGGAGAATTTTGTATTGAAACCCAGATTCAATCTGTTTAACGTGTTCTTAAACTTGTGTGGTAACTTAAAAATTTTGTAGTTTTCAGTATTTGACTGCATTAAACTTATCTACCCCAAATATAACTCTTTCATGTACATGCTTGTTCTACAAAAAATCATCAATTATACGGAAATACAAGATATCATGATGTATCACAATATCCTTGTATTATAACCACATCCCTAGGAGTACTCCAATATGCCTCAGAATATCGCAATATCCCTCTGAGTACTCCAATATCCCTCAGAATATCGCAATATCCCTCTGAGTATTCCAATATCCCTCAGAATATCGCAATATCCCTCTGAGTACTCCAATATCCCTCAGAATATCGCAATATCCCTCTGAGTATTCCAATATCCCTCAGAATATCGCAATATCCCTCTGAGTATTCCAATATCCCTCAGAATATCGCAATATCCCTCTGAGTATTCCAATATCCCTCAGAATATCGCAATATCCCTCTGAGTATTCCAATATCCCTCAGAATATCGCAATATCCCTCTGAGTATTCCAATATCCCTCAGAATATCACAATATCCCTCTGAGTATTCCAATATCCCTCAGAATATCGCAATATCCCTCTGAGTATTATAATATCCCTCAGAATATCGCAATATCCCTCTGAGTATTCCAATATCCCTCAGAATATCGCAATATCCCTCTGAGTATTCCAATATCTCTCAGAATATCGCAATATCCCTCTGAGTATTCCAATATCCCTCAGAATATCGCAATATCCCTCTGAGTATTCCAATATCCCTCAGAATATCGCAATATCCCATGGATTATTGCAGTATATTACATTTGCCACCCTTACTGACTATGGTCCTAGATTGTGAGGAGTATTTAAACAGCTCTCTGGGTTGTTGATAATCACAGAGCTATGGAGGCAAAAGTATTGTATGCAGGCTAGCACAATGTGATATGTGTTCCTGCAGTGATCTCATTTGTTACAATAATTGGTGTTTTTTTACACGCTTTGAAGGTAACAATAGTAAAAAGGATTTTAACAATGATGCATTTATAAAAACAGCGAATTACGATATTTAACTTTTCAAACACAGTGTATGCTTTTAATTATTGCCAGCTGAATAATTCTTTTTATGTGTGGAAGTTTCCAATTAAAATGTCCTGAGACACAAAACGTTTGATGTAAACAACATAATTTGAAGAAAATGTTAGTCAGTTACTTAAAGGTATGGTATTTTTTTGTTAGATCATTCAGGTAAGCATTATCTTAACAGGTTTTAGTAAAATACACCTTTCTTCTTTCCCAGACAAAAGCCCTGATAACAGATGGACAGGGAGGGATTTTTAGGATTGTTCAAATACCGATAGAAATGATGTTTATTTTTTCCTAAAGTATTACCCTACAATTGACCAGAATAATTAATCATCATTAATCAGTGTTGTTGATTTTACTTAACAGGACAGCTAATTTAATGCATCAATTCCTGACTTTCAAGCAGCTTATTGACCATGAACGACTTGAGCCACTGGTCATCAGGAACACAATACCTATCTGTATGGCACAGTATGAAAAGGTTTTCTCCACAACACGGTAAGATTATTGACACAAAAATCAACATTTTTTTGTCTTTTACAGATTTTTATATTATGTTTAAATCGCGTCCCAAATCAGTATATACCACCTAACAACTTCATTCGGACCATTCACTATATAAAAAGGACATTTTCTAGTTTATTAGTTTAAAGCGGTTTCTTTTATATAAAAAGGACTTAAAAATTCATATTCCAGTTTTTTTACTTCCAACTTATTTGGATTTCTGAATAGAATAGAACAAAGAAGCCGGTATACTTAATTCTTTATATATGCCCATCAAAAGACCTTATTTAGGTCAATATTGCAAGTAGTGCAACTTGAAAACTTCATAGAAAGATTCAATACCATGATAGGTTGCACAAGTTTGATCACGGTAATTTCCCAAATGTAATTCACAGAGTTATGGCCCCTTATTCAATTACTATAACAATGTCCGTTCAATATCACAAGTAACTTTCAATGGGACAACTTCAAACTTCATAAGGAGGCTCATTAACACTACAGATTATACAAATTTGATGACCACAATCATGGAACCAAAATTTTTGAAGTTATGATAATTACCAAAACAGCATCCGATCAATATCTCAATTAGCTTTCAAGAGATAGATTTCAAACTTGATAGAAAAGTTCATTACGATGATTAATCAGACAAGTTTGATGATCACTTGATATCTCAATTATTTTTCAATGGATCAACATCAAACTTAATGTATTTGAGGTTTATTACCATCAGAGTTAGGACAGGTTGGATAACCTCAACTTTTTGTCTGGAATTCCCAGAGTTATGGCCCCTTATTTCAATTATCTAAACAATGTCCACTCAATATCTCCAGTAGTTCCACTCACATACACAGAAAACTTTACAATGAGGTTCACTATCACCATAGCTCGACAGAGGTAGATAACCTTGTCATTTACTGAATAATGACCTTTGTAATATTGATGGAACAATAACTGAAGTCTTACTCATGGATCACCTCGGAGTGTTGTTGTATACTTGGTGATTACCCTGGTTTACTTCACCATTACACAACTGTCACTGTCAGTAAATAACATTAATGTGTTGATCAGAAATTCTTTCCCTTTCCTGTTGCAAAATGCTCATTTGACCTAAAACGGATGTACCATTTACTGCTTTGCAAAACTCTTGTTTGTTATGTTGTTGTAATTAAAGGTTTCCTTTTGATCTACAAATCACGAAAATTTAAAAATGATTAATGAGATGGTCAGATTTTGATTAATGTATTAAATTAATGCTGTAATGTATTTCATGGAACATCTCAACTTTTGGTGAAGAGAAATGCTCAGTAGAAGTGTGATTTCTGTTTCTAGAATCCCTGGAGAAGATTGTGATTCCTGGCTCCATTGTGATTCAACAGAATCCAAGGTTGGTCAAGGACACTAACATTATTTATAGTTAAAGGTCAAGGTCAGATTAATCTCACAAAGTAGGTCAAGGTCACTAACATTATCTAATCTCTGTAGGTCAAGGTTACATCAATATATCTGACATCTGTTATTTCAATGTCACAAAGTCATTGAAGGTATAGGGATCTGCTGGTATATATGTTTATTCATTTCCTAAATGACATCACCTCTCCACATTTCTTATCCAATTGTCACGATACTTTCGACATGTCTTCACAATATAGACATGTTGTATAAGTTTGTGTTTCGACCTTCTACTGTAAAAACTGAGTCACATTATTTAAAAATATCAAAATAACGACCGACTGTACTTCTTAGTCGATTGCCATTATACTTCATGCACATGTTCATACACATCATAGCTTTGAAAATGTTGTTTTTCAACAACTGCAGCTAGGTCACCACTACTATAAATAGAAACAGACAGAATTGTTAACGTCACAGCTACTTTTCCGATTGTCACAATACATCACACATATCTTTCTTAACATCACTTTTTATACCATATAAGGTAACAATTTAGACATACACATCTCATTGACAGACCAAACCACTACACCTATTCATTTACACTTAGCTTTTCAACATCTTATGGTGTGCAAGGGTTTTTGTATTGTTTTCGATGCCTTGTTAGATATCTGTAGGTCAAGGTCACTGACATAATGTATATCTGTTGTTCAAGGTCACATCAATATATCTGACAAGGTAGGTCAAGGTCATTAACTCCATGTAGTTGATAATATGCTTGAGTTTAATTCTATGTACATGTAATGTAATGTAGAAATGAAACAATAACAATAAATCTCTAAATCCAGATATTGACAGCAAGATGTTCTATAAGGGAAAAAAATGTTTATTGTTACATATTTTTTCAAACTGTTATTTGAAGAATTTGAAGATATTGATAGCAAGGTGTTCTAAAAGGGAAAAAAAAACCCATTTATTGTTACACATATTCTTCAAACTGTAATTTATGATAATTGTTGGAATTTTGTTGTACATTTGTACTATATAATTACATACTATCTTTACATATTGTCTTCAGCATGTGGCAGTCCTGAGGAAGGGCCTTATATACAAAGTTAGTGTGTTTGATAAGAAGGGGAAACTACTCACACCTGTCCAGCTGGAAAAACAACTTGACTGGATCATTAAAGATGCAGATGTGCAAACAAGTGAGTCAACGATCCAGAAAAGTTTGTCATTGAGGATTAGATAAGGGAAAGGTTTTACAAAGTTTAAAATTTACTGAAGGAAAAGATAGAAGGCAGGTTAGGTATGGTAGGATAGAAAGAGTAAACATATTATATTTTGTGTTTGGATTTTGAAATATTCATATACAACATGAAACACAATTGTTTAAACAGCATGTGTTTCAGAAAAAAAATATTCAGAAAATAATTACATTCAGGATATCATCATAAAATTTACATGTTTTATAAAATATGAAATTATCAATCAGTTAGGACTAAATTTATATTCAAAAGCAAAGATTTAGGGCATGAAAAAATCAAATTGAATTTACATGTATTTCATCTTTTTAAACCAGGTACCATCAGTGAATCAGAAAAGAGCATTCCTGCCCTGACTGGGATAGACAGGACATCTTGGTACAAAATCCGTACCCAGTATTTCTCAGAGGGCATCAACAAGGAATCTTTGGACACTGTGGAGAAGTCTATTTTGTTTGTGAGTTATCTCCCTTGATGTTTTGGCTTGATAGCCATATAATACTGTCCAGACTTACTGACACAGTCCTTCCCTCATCTGACATTAACATCCTCCTTCATGTGTTTGCTTACTACCGTAAATTTTAGTGTATTATCCACAGGCTATACAATTCAAAACAATAGAAATTGCTTTCTGCGGGCTATCCGGTGAAGCGGGCTATATGATATCAGTATCTTATATCTAATATAAGTAAATAACAAACAGAAAGGCTACAATGTATAAACAGAAATATTTAATTATCAAACACTTGGTTGCAATCTCATAAAATGTTGGACGAAAAAAAACCAACATATTTTTGATAAGAATACATGTACAACTCCTTTAATAGGAGTTATCCCCCATTCCCAGTGCATCTCAAACACACTTTTGGGAAAGTGGTGCGAGTCTCACACATGATTGTACAAGTAAGGCAATCAGCCTTTTTCCCAATAGTGTGGAATGTAAAGTTGAGGTAACGTAAATTACATAGAGGAATTTTTTGTTTATTTCATGAAAAGTGTCAATAAAAATGAACCTTCATTTTCTATCTTTTAAAGTTTATAACTTAATATACCTAGGTACAGAGCTTTTATTGCATAAACAAGTAAATTAAACCAGCAGTAAACGGTAGGATACAGTAAATGGTAGGATACAGTATTGTCATACCTGGCTTCAGGAGTTGGGGCTCTTTTTTTAATATTTTAGCTTTTTAGGTAAATTAAGGCTCTAGAATAAATCAGTGTTGAGAGATAGAAAAGAGAAAGAGAGAAAAGATTTAATATGGTAGAAGGGGTATTATATAAGAATCTTTTTTATTATGATTTGAAACGTTCATATACGTGATTGCCAGTTGGGTACAAAAGAAAATTGGGCTGAACGTTAATGTTGAAGCTGAAAGAGAACGTTATATATCTCAGAGCATGTTTAAGATCGGTGAAATTGAAAAGTTTTTGCCAGAACTCTAAGGCTCGGCATTTCACTTTTTCTTTGTATTTTATCAAGAAGAAAATATAATAGGTATCTTTGAGATAAAAGAGGATGTAAAGAATACATAGAGGATCATACATGAATTTCTGTTTCATATTTAATCTAGAAAACGAGTTTTAAGAAATTTAAAAATTATAACAAGCCTTTTCCAAAATGGAGAAAATTTATTGAGTTTTGATTTCATTGTACAGCCTGAAGTGATTCCAACTCTATATCTGTGATCTCCATGGTTACATCACAATACAATCTTTGAGTGTGTGACATCACTAGATTGTCTAAACAGAACATCACACTAGGTTATATTACATATGTATAATACACAAAAATATTTCATTGTTATATTTTCTTTAGGTAAGTCTACAAGACTGTTCCTATGAGGATCTGACTGAGCGAGGAAAACATCTACTTGGTGGAACAGGTACATCAGTATGGTTTGATAAATCTATCAACATTATAACCTTCCCCAACGGACGATTCGGTCTCAACTGTGAACATTCCTATGCAGATGCACCGGTGATTGGTCACCTCTCAGAATTCAACATGACCAATGAGTGAGTTAAGCAAGTACTACTCAGTTCCTAATGAGGTCAAAAGCGTCATTAAAAACAAATGTAGTCAGATATTTCAAAGACTTATGGACTTTTATAAAAAAAATTATTTTGAGATATGTCACAAGATTTGGATAATTTTGTTTTTATGTTTGAAATTCAAGAAGATTCAGATATGAAATTTAGAGACTAACATGTTCCTACACAATAACTTGAAATGTTGAATAAAATACAAAAAAATACATGTAATCAAATGAAGGTGTTGTGCTGTTCGCAAAGCTATATCAAGGAAACAACTGACAATTAAGATTTTTAAAGAAATTATGAACATGTGTGTAATCCCCTATTAACAGCAGATGTAAATTTTTAATGTTCTTTTAGAATATCTGATGATCCATACCTGCCAGATGGTCATTGTAAGCCCCAGCCAGGAGATGAAACATTTCAGGAGAGAACCATGCCCACACAACTCTTGTGGGATATAGAAGAATCACTAGCTTCTGTCATTAAAGGGGCAGTCGGAACAGTCACAAAGGTAATTTGTTTAATGTATAAGTTTACAACAACTTTGGTTTGTATAGAAGTTATTGGCATTGATGTCTTACAGACAATTCCTGGTTTCAGTAAGGCCTAGGTCATTCTTTCAAACGAGACAATTTTATGTTCCTAAATACTTCACCCTCTTAATTTTGCCATTTTGGTCCATTTTAGTCGTACATTTTACATAATATAGATTTATTTGACCCTTTGTAATACATGGTTTTTGTCTGTTTTTTTTAGTTTGTTTCATCATAGAGATCAATTATTGATAAGTGTTTAATTAAAAGTCTGTTGTATTAGATACATATATATTGTGGAAAGAAGCTGTTGATAAAAAATGTGTCCTTTTTCCATGAAGCTATTGATGAAATTGCAAAACTTTGAACAATGAAACAAACATCTGACAGTTCCCCTTTGATGACCTACCTTGATATTTTTTGTAGGCAATAGACGACCTTGACCTTTGTGTTAAGGACCATGATTCATATGGTAAAGGATTCATGAAGACATGCAAGGTGAGAAATAAAATGGTTTATTCTTGGTTCACACTGATGTAGTTGTACTCCGATGTAGTTGTGCACAGATGTAGTTGTACACTGATGTAGTTGTACACCGATGTAGTCGTACACCGATGTAGTTGTACACCGATGTAGTTGCACACTGATGTAGTTGTACAGCGATGTAGTTGTACACTGATGTAGTTGTACACTGATGTAGTTGTACACCGATGTAGTTGTACACCGATGTAGTTGTACACTGATGTAGTTGTACACCGATGTAGTTGTACACTGATGTAGTTGTACTGATGTAGTTGTACAGTGATGTAGTTGTACACCGATGTAGTTGTACACTGATGTAGTTGTACACCGATGTAGTTGTACACTGATGTAGTTGTACACTGATGTAGTTGTACGATGTAGTTGTACACCGATGTAGTTGTACACCGATGTAGTTGTACACCGATGTAGTTGTACACTGATGTAGTTGTACACTGATGTAGTTGTACACCGATGTAGTTGTACACCGATGTAGTTGTACACCGATGTAGTTGTACACTGATGTAGTTGTACACTGATGTAGTTGTACACCGATGTAGTTGTACACTGATGTAGTTGTACACTGATGTAGTTGTACAGTGATGTAGTTGTACACCGATGTAGTTGTACACCGATGTAGTTGTACACTGATGTAAGTTACTGGAGAAGTGTTGAACTTGGTGTAAGAGAAATATCAGAACATACACATACACAACATACACATCACTACAACATACACATCACTACAACATACACATCACTACAACATACACATCATACACATCACTACAACACACACATCATAAAACATCACTACAACATACACATCACTACAACATACACATCACTACAACATACACATCACTACAAGATAAGACATGTGTCTAGCAACACACAGTATGTCAGACAATATACATTGATCTACATACACTCTAACACAAATATTGTTATTATATGATTTCAGTTGTCTAGCTATCCAATCAACATACAGATATTTGTCATATGATATTGTCTAGCTATACAACACACCAATCAACATACAGATATTACAACACATGATATTGTATAGCTATCCAATCAACATACAGATATTTGTCATATGATATTGTACACTGATGTAGTTGTACACCGATGTAGTTGTACACTGATGTAGTTGTACAGTGATGTAGTTGTACAGTGATGTAGTTGTATACCGATGTAGTAGTACACCGATGTAGTTGTACACCGATGTAGTTGTACACTGATGTAGTTGTACACCGATGTAGTTGTACACACACATGTAGTACAACACACATGTAGTTGTACACACATGTAGTTACAACACACTGATGTAGTTGTACACACGATGTAGTTGTACACTGATGTAAGTTACTGGAGAAGTGTCACACACTTACAACACAGAGAAATATCACACAATATTTGTCTAATAGTACAACATAGGGATCACTACAACACACACAGTAGTACAACACACACATATCAGGAAAAATAGGAATATTTATTTTGCTAAAAATCACAATCATTATATCAGATGATATTAAAATATCATAATATGTAACTGATCATAGTATCAATACTACAAAATACAAGTCATTACAACATACACATCACTACATACACATCATACACATCACTACAACATACACAACATACACATCACTACAACATACACATCACTACAACATACACATCACTACAACATACACAACATACACATCACTACAACATACACATCACTACAACACACACATCACTACAACACACACATCACTACAACACACACATCACTACAACATACACATCACTACAACACACACATCACTACAACATACACATCACTACAACATACACATCACTACAACATACACATCACTACAACATACACATCACTACAAGATAAGACATGTGTCTAGCTAGTCAGTATGTCAGAAATATCATTGATCTACATAAGCTCTAACCAAATATTGTTATTATATGATTTCAGTTGTCTAGCTATCCAATCAACATACAGATATTTGTCATATGATATTGTCTAGCTATCCAATCAACATACAGATATTTGTCATATGATATTGTATAGCTATCCAATCAACATACAGATATTTGTCATATGATATTGTATAGCTATCCAATCAACATACAGATATTTGTCATATGACAGTTTATGTTTTCTGCCATACAATCAGTTTGAACAGATCTGTTTTCCACATTTAGGTCAGTCCTGATGCATACATCCAGATGGCGCTACAAATCACGTATTTTAAGAATGCTGGAAAGTTTGCTTTGACGTATGAATCGTCCATGACACGTTTCTATCTCAATGGTCGCACGGAAACTGTGAGGTCACTGACATGTGAATCTGCTTCTTTTGTAAGGTAAACAGGACTCACACATAATCAATATGTTAATGCCTTAATTAAATAAGGTTGTAAAAGGACACAAGTGAAGAAAAACCTTTCAGTACTGATTTGAAAATGATAAATAAAGGGTGATCCAACACTCCTTATATGGAACTTTGTGGTAGTGTACTTGAATGGATCTGTATAGGATTTAATAGCATTCCTTAACAAGAAAACAGAGAAAGCAAAATGGAAACATCCTCATAATGTTGAGTTTCCTTTTTGTTTTATAACATTTTGACAATAGGTAGAAAAAAAACTTGTATTCCAGAGGGATGCATTCTTTGCTATTTTACCTTTTCTTGAGGGCTTTTCTCTGAACTGTTTAGTAATGTATACATCCATATGATGAAATGATCCTGAGGACTCAATGTGATGTGAACAAGCGATTTTAATTACAGGTGTATTAAAGAGGAATAAGCCAGATTCAAATTGCCAACGGATAGATTTTTTTCTCTCAGTAAATAACATGATTTTCTCTCAGTAAATAACATGATTTTTAATCTCAGTAAATTACACAATTTTTTTCTCTCAGTAAATCATTTGACTTTGCCTCTCAGTAAGTTACATGATTAATTCACCAAACCTTCGGAATTTTTCACCATATGTACCAACATTGAGTGATTTTAAAATTCCTCTTAGATGATGAATGACATTATATAATTATCTTGAGTTATACTTATTGACCAATCATAATCTCATATGATCTTACAGAGCATTCAGAGATCCCACAGTGGATAGAGAAGAGAAATTGAAGCTGTTCAGGAAGGCATGTACAGTTCATCAAAAGATGTACCGGGACGCCATGACAGGGCAGGCCAGTGATCGACATCTCTTCGCTCTCTATGTTGTTAGCAAAGGACTAGGATATGTAAGTGCATTATATCTTAGTGTTAAAATATAAAAGCTTATTAATAAACATGTTTTACCCAATGTTAATACTTGGAAGTGGGTTCTTAGTAGAAAAATATGACAATTTTGATATTCATTTGCCTATACACCATGCTTTGTGTTATTCAACTTTAACGACAAATTTGTTAGAAGTTTTTGGTGCAAATTTATGATTGCAGGTGTTACACACTGCTTGTAGAGTTTTAGTCCTCAAAGTTTGCCATAACCTTGCATTATGATTCATTGGAATAGTGGCAGTGTTCAGAATAAACACAAGTACTTGACATTCTTTTGAAATTATCAGATATATGACATTAAGAAATTATTAAATCATGGGGCTAGTACATCTCCCCACGTAGATTTTCACATTTCTTTCTCTCATTTTGGTTTTTAGGTGACCTGGTCTCATGGTGACCTATTCTAATACCCTTCATCTGGCATCATGCGTCGTGCGTCTGTAAACAATTTAACACTTTCGACTTCTCAAAAAAACCCGTCATCCAATTTCAATGAAATTTTACAGAAACCTTCCCTGCCCTAAGATGAACCAAAATTATGAATTATACAGTCCCTACCTCCCAGGTTCATATTAAATCAGATTTCAAAAATCTTCTTCTTAAGACCCAGATATGGTAGAATAAAATACTCTTCATGAATGGAAGCATCTTAACGTGCTTTCCCAAAATTTTGAATTTCATGGTCCAAGGGTCTCACATATCCCTGTAGGGAGGGGGTAAATTTTATTATAGTTTGCTTAGGAAAACTAGATTTTTGAGCATAATTTGGTTAATTTCCATTGGAAATATTTCAAACTTGGTTAGAATTATGAGTGAAGGATGATGACTTGATGGTATGCCCAATTTGATGGGCAGGGCCAAAAGGGGTCAAATTTATCTAAATTTCAAAAATCTTCTTCTCAAGACCCAGATGTAGTAGAATCAAATAATCTTCATGAATGGAAGCATCTTAAGGTGCTTTAAATACCAAAATGAGTCTCACATTTCTTCCTGGGGAGGAATATTTTTTTTAGACTTTACTGTCATTTTCATAGAAATATTGTAGTTTTGAGCATACCTGGAATAACTTTATAAGAATTACCTGTATATGATGACAGTTTTGATGGAATGCATGTATTGACACTGTCTGTATTCAGTGTCACAATTTCTGTTTCATGACACTTGATAACAATCCTTTAACCTTTCAATATTGTTTATCTCAGTTGACCGTCAATGCGGCTAGGTCTCTTGTCTGTAGTTACTCGCTAGATTTCAAAATTTAAGCCTTTAAAATCACTAACAAGCTCAAGCTAGCGAGGACAAAACAGCCATAAGGTGCATTTTAATTCATAATCAGCAGTACTGTATCTTACACTAGATTTATACGAAATGGTGTTTATCACTTGTGTGTATTCTGAACAAATCTCCATCAAACATTAAAAAGATGTACAGGTCCATACTAAAGAACAGAAAGCTATTATAAAAAATGTTCATTTGATTAAACTGACATCAACTTCTGGTGAACTTAAAGTCTGCCAGGTTTACTGCAACCTGTACGCCACGTTTTAATTAATTTGATTAATGAAACAGGTCATATTGTACACATTTACTTGACATTGTTCTAAATTATCTGATAAATAAACATTACAAAATATATTGAATTATGGGGCTGGTGCACCTCCCCGTCTAGATTTTAGGTTTTTTTTCGATTGATCTGGATTTTCCTCATTCGCCTCCAAGGCTTCAAAATTTAGTCCCTTATCATCACTGACGAGTCCTAGAAGGAGGATACAGCTGTATGGTACAGTTTAATTCATTTTTTGACTCTACTGTAACTCTAAATTTGTATTAAAAGATGGTGTGTGTCTTTTGTACAATATTCTGATTATAAATTTTGTTTTGTAGGAGTGTGACTTTCTGAAAAATGCATTAACACTTCCTTGGACACTGTCCACTAGTCAACAGCCACAGCAGCAGATAGCTCGTAGTCCTGACTGTAACCTACCACAGTACAAAGACATGGTAAGTGTACTCACAGTTAAAGACATGTCGTAGTCCTGACTGTAACCTACCACAGTACAAAGAAATGTCGTAGTCCTGACTGTAACCTACCACAGTACAAAGACATGTCGTAGTCCTGACTGTAACCGACCACAGTACAAAGACATGGTAAGTTTACTCACAGTTAAAGACATGTCGTAGTCCTGACTGTAACCGACCACAGTACAAAGACATGGTAAGTTTACTCGTAGTTAAAGACATGTCGTAGTCCTGACTGTAACCTACCACAGTACAAAGACATAGTAGGTGTACTCACAGTTAAAGACATGTCGTAGTCCTGACTGTAACCGACCACAGTACAAAGACATGGTAAGTTTACTCAGAGTTAAAGACATGTCGTAGTCCTGACTGTAACCGACCACAGTACAAAGACATGGTAAGTGTACTCAGAGTTAAAGACATGTCGTAGTCCTGACTGTAACCTACCACAGTACAAAGACATAGTAGGTGTACTCACAGTTAAAGACATGTCGTAGTCCTGACTGTAACTGACCATAGTACAAAGACATGTCGTAGTCCTGACTGTAACCTACCACAGTACAAAGACATGGTAAGTTTACTCACAGTTAAAGACATGTCGTAGTCCTGACTGTAACCGACCACAGTACAAAGACATGGTAAGTTTACTCACAGTTAAAGACATGTCGTAGTCCTGACTGTAACCGACCACAGTACAAAGACATGGTAAGTTTACTCACAGTTAAAGACATGTCATAGTCCTGACTGTAACCTACCACAGTACAAAGACATGGTAAGTTTACTCACAGTTAAAGACATGTCGTAGTCCTGACTGTAACTGACCATAGTACAAAGACATGTCGTAGTCCTGACTGTAACCTACCACAGTACAAAGACATGTCGTCGTCCTGACTGTAACCGACCACAGTACAAAGACATGGTAAGTTTACTCACAGTTAAAGACATGTCGTAGTCCTGACTGTAACCTACCACAGTACAAAGACATGTCGTCGTCCTGACTGTAACTGACCACAGTACAAAGACATGGTAAGTTTACTCACAGTTAAAGACATGTCGTAGTCCTGACTGTAACCTACCACAGTACAAAGACATGTCATAGTCCTGACTGTAACCTACCACAGTATAAAGACGTGGTAAAAACCAGCAACCATCATTTAAACTTCCACATGTGGACCCATGGCTGTCACTAACGAGGAAGTTTTGGACATGTTGAGAGATCTTATGTTAAGCAATTCATCTGACACTAGCTCCAGTAGGAGTGTAACAACAGACATTAATTGTACATCCCATCAGAGACATAGTTAATTCTTACGTTATAACGTTCAGTTAAGGCCTACCAGCCTTTGATGTTATGTACATGTTTTTATAATTATGTCACAATTAAAAAGCGAGTCCTATTTTCAGAAGTTCAAGGGTAAAAATTGTAAAAAACATTGTTGTGATGAAACCTCACTACTAGTGGCAAAATGATCTGACCAATAGATAAGCAACCCACTCATTAGTTACACTTGGTTGTGTTGTGATTGAAACTGACTTAAAAATTGGTAGGAAAAGGTGCTTAAGAGGCAACTGAACTTCAATCATTTTTACAGTTGCATTCAAGTACAGATTTGAGTTAACTTTCTATGATTTTAGCCGAAAGAAAAAATTAAGAGAAGTAAGCTACGAGAGGAGCAACTCGAAATTCAGTCTTTTACAGTTAATGGTCTCTCTCTCTCTTTAAATATAATGAGATCCTGGAACAGGGATACGATGTTAAGCCTTACTCACTGTGATTTGTACAGTCAATGGTCTCTCTCTTCCTTTAAAAATAATGAGATCTTGGAACAGGGATACGATGTTAAGCCTTACTCACTGTGATTTGTACAGTCAATGGTCTCTCTCTTCCTTTAAAAATAATGAGATCTTGGAACAGGGATACAATGTTAAGCCTTACTCACTGTGATTTGTACAGTCAATGGTCTCTCTCTTCCTTTAAAAATAATGAGATATTGGAACAGGGATATGATGTTAAGCCTTACTCATTGTGATTTGTACAGTCAATGGTCTCTCTCTCTCTCTCACTTTAAAAATAATATCCTGGAACAGGGATACAATGTGAAGCCTTACTCACTGTGATTTGTACAGTCAATGGTCTCTCTCTCACTTTAAATATAATAAGATCTTGGAACAGGGATACGATGTTAAGCCTTACTCACTGTGATTTGTACAGTCAATGGTCTCTCTCTCACTTTAAAAATAATGAGATCTTGGAACAGGGATACGATGTTAAGCCTTACTCACTGTGATTTGTACAGTCAATGGTCTCTCTCTCACTTTAAATATAATAAGATCTTGGAACAGGGATACAATGTGAAGCCCTGTAGGTTTTTTTAGTTCCTGCTTTGTCCTTGTTTTATTTAATTTAGATTCACGATAACTTTTGTAGAGATGTTAATAATTTTATACAATTTGTTTCTCTAGCTGTGCCCGGGCGGAGGATTCGGTCCCGTGTCAGACGATGGCTACGGTGTGTCTTACATGATACCAGGCGACAAGAAAGTGTTTTTTCATGTTTCTGCCAAAAACTCAACACCAGGAACAAGCGCCAGTAAATTCATGGATCAATTGTTTGAAACTCTCCAGGAAATGAGGGAAATGTTTTCCGATAAAAATGGAACATCATGATGTCAACTTGGAGATATTAGGAACATCATGATGTCAACTTGGAGATGTTAGGAACATCATGATGTCAATTTGGATTTATTAGGAACATCATGATGTCAACTTGGAGATGTTAGGAACATCATGATGTCAACTTGGAGTTATTAGGAATATCAAATGTTTTTAATCTTGATCAGGTTTTTAAAGTATTTTGAACTTTTTAAGACTATGACTGGCTTAAAGTCGAAAATGAGATTAATTGCCACCTTACTCTTTATTTTTAAAACAGCGTAAAACATTGATCATTGTTAAGAATAAGTCTACAGATGGTGTTTCAGCAATCTCTACCGTATGTAGAGATACTTACATACAAGATGTCTTCATCATTAAGTTAGAGACAATATCATAGGTTTGTATTATGTTTTAATATTGTGCATACTTTTACTTGAGGTTTACAACATTTTTTTATCAAAATGTGATATTTTTAAGAATTTAAAGTCATTTAAATCAAGATGAGACCTCAAAATTAAAAGAACATTTCATATCCAGAATTAAATGATGTTTTTTTTCACTGACAGATAAGACATATTCTTGCCAATCCTCATAATTTTGGAGCGAAATTTTAGAGTAGTGTCATAAGTAACACATCTTTTGATAATCAAATAACATCTCAGTTACAACAGTGTCAGAATGTCTTATTTTAAAACATTTATTTGTCAAAATAATTTCTTTATAATTTGAGATTTGAATTTTTTTGTCGAATATGCTGTGTGAAGAACTGAAAATTTAGTCATATAATCGATGTAAAAAGATGACAAAAAAATGTGATATATTTAAAGAAAAAAGTGATTCTAAGGGGGCCAGAAATCTCATTAGATATTAAAACAATTTGTATGATGTAACCACCTTGTTTTTAACCCTTATTTAATGTTGTGTGTTTTGTCAGCAACATAAAACCATGTTTTCATCCTCCACCAAAGCCAGGCAGGAAAACCATCACTGAACAAGAGGATAATTAATCCTGTTGTGTATCCAGAAAAAAACTGATTGAACAGGTCATTATTGATTGTGTATTGCCATGTGATAACAGCACCATGGTGCTCTATAAGGCAAAGTGGTATGTATACAATACAAATCATTATATTCTATATTTAGTCACAACATGTAAACTGTAACCATGGTTACTCACAACACATAATTAGTCTGCATAACAAAGTTGTTTTTAAGTAGTTTTAATTTGGGAAGATTGTTTCATACTGACTTTACCAAGCTACTTGTTAAGACAAAAATTTTATTGAGCTGTAAAGTTTGCATTAAGAGGTTGTTATCATGGTTTTTTTCTATCAATAATGCACATTCTCAACTCTATGATATATTGATGTCAAATCTAACCAGACCACCAAAGAAGTGAATATTTAAATTCTTTGTTTGAGACACCTAGGTAAAAGTTTTGATCAAGAATGTCAGTACATTCCATGTACTGTTGTATACCTAGATATTGAAATTTTTGTTCTTTTAATTTGTGTTGGAATTTTCTATTATGAGGGTTTGGTGTATAACTGGTATGTTTCTGTAGTATAACACCTAACTTCAAAGGTTTTCAGACAAAAAGATCTTTGTATTGTACATTTTCTGCTTTTTAGTGGACCAGTGCTTTGAACCTTAGGAAGTGAACCAGTGTTTTGAACCTTAGGACCAATTTGTAGTTAATATTCCTGTCACAATGGTATGCTTGTGTTAAGTCTGACCTTTTCTGGTCGATGTTTAAGAATCTATATTTTAATTTAATTTATTGCTTTGTAATCATGTGATAATATACAGAAATTGACCAATTGCAATGGGGGAGGGGATGGGAATAGGAGATGGGGAAGGGGACGGGAATAGGGGATGGAGGGGGAGGGGATGGGTGAGGGGACAGGAATAGGGGATGGGGGTGGGGAATAGGGGATGGGGGGAGGGGATGGGGGAGGGGACAGGAATAGGTGATGGGGTGGGGAATAGGGGATGGGGGGGAGGGGACAGGAATAGGGGGTGGGGGGAGGGGATGGGGCTATGAAGTATTTCTAACCATGTTCGTGCATCCTATCACATCCCATCCAATTTCAAATGTAGGTTACAACTTGAGAACTTCTGAAAATATTTGGTTCATCAAGTTCTACTATGCCTGATTAGGTTCTGGTTTGAATAGGAACATTGACGTTCACATAGAAATTTTCTAATTTTAGAAATGTTCATTAAAATAAGCAGTGATCAAATCCATTTTTCAGTAAGGAGATTTGATGGGTTTTGTTTTTAAACCTGCTTGTTTTCATGGCAATCAAGGTTCTTTTAGCTATTTTTTAAAATTTACTTTTCTTCCAATAAATGTGATTACTTTTTAGTGTTTCACATGTGTACCACAAACAATGGCAGTGTGATGTTGCTGTGACCAATGTTACTTATAGTCACCTACATACGACAAACTTCCAATCAATCATTTGTTGATTTGTCATTTTAGATAGATAACAAATATATCTCAAAGCTATTTCTACTGGTTATTGAAACTTTGTGTAGATATCTTTTCCTTGGACGTAAGTTCTTCATGAATGACTTGATTTCAGGTGTTTAGTCTGACCAGAAATAGCCAATCAGAAACTTTAGTCTGACCAGAAATAGCCAATCAGGAACAAGTAAATTTTATTATCACAAAGAGACCATTTCCGTGACTACCACAATATATATGTACCTATATCTGACTTTATCGTGTAAATTTTTAGGATTTTATCCTAGTTTTATTTATGATATTTTGTGGTTTATATTTTACTAGTGTGTCTTTGTGATATCCTACTTGTAATGATTTTTTTCTGTTAGTTGTGTGCAGTTTCGCATTCACTGTCCTAAATTTAAATTTCTCTGTTTTTGTCACCTTTTCTTCGATGTTGGGATTCACAATATGCCATTGTTAGTGTGTGAATCCTTTAACATCACACTGTTCAGAGTGTGTGAATCCTTTAACATCACACTGTTCAGAGTGTGTGAATCCTTTAACATCACACTGTTCAGAGTGTGTGAATCCTTTAACATCACACTGTTCAGAGTGTGGAATCTTTTAACATCACACTGTTCAGAGTGTGTGAATCTTTTAACATCACACTGTTCAGAGTGTGTGAATCCTTTAACATCACACTGTTCAGAGTGTGGAATCTTTTAACATCACACTGTTCAGAGTGTGGAATCTTTTAACATCACACTGTTCAGAGTGTGGAATCTTTTAACATCACACTGTTCAGAGTGTGGAATCTTTTAACATCACACTGTTCAGAGTGTGTGAATCCTTTAACATCACACTGTTCAGAGTGTGGAATCTTTTAACATCACACTGTTCAGAGTGTGTGAATCCTTTAACATCACACTGTTCAGAGTGTGTGAATCCTTTAACATCACACTGTTCAGAGTGTGGAATCCTTTAACATCACACTGTTCAGAGTGTGTGAATCCTTTAACATCACACTGTTCAGAGTGTGAATCCTTTAACATCACACTGTTCAGAGTGTGGAATCCTTTAACATCACACTGTTCAGAGTGTGTGAATCCTTTAACATCACACTGTTCAGAGTGTGGAATCTTTTAACATCACACTGTTCAGAGTGTGGAATCTTTTAACATCACACTGTTCAGAGTGTGTGAATCCTTTAACATCACACTGTTCAGAGTGTGTGAATCCTTTAACATCACACTGTTCAGAGTGTGAATCCTTTAACATCACACTGTTCAGAGTGTGGAATCTTTTAACATCACACTGTTCAGAGTGTGTGAATCCTTTAACATCACACTGTTCAGAGTGTGAATCCTTTAACATCACACTGTTAACATCACACTGTTCAGAGTGTGTGAATCTTTTAACATCACACTGTTCAGAGTGTGAATCCTTTAACATCACACTGTTCAGAGTTATAACATCACACTGTTCAGAGTGTGTGAATCCTTTAACATCACACTGTTCAGAGTGTGAATCCTTTAACATCACACTGTTCAGAGTGTGGAATCTTTTAACATCACACTGTTCAGAGTGTGGAATCTTTTAACATCACACTGTTCAGAGTGTGGAATCCTTTAACATCACACTGTTCAGAGTGTGGAATCTTTTAACATCACACTGTTCAGAGTGTGGATTTAGTATCCTGACATATGAGTGTTTGAATTGATACAAAATCACTGTTTACAGAATGTAGATTTATAATTTTAGTTACCAGGATGACTTAAAATGTAGGTTTAGAATGAAAAGCAGTAAAAATATTTAAGATGTCTCAAAAATGTGATGCTACATGTGTAAGGTAAATCATTTATTTTACCTGTAAAAAGGCCAAATGTTACATTAGAATCAAAGACATTACACAAAGAATTTTAAACAAGTATATAAAACAAGTCTTCACAATTCCCCAACATCAGTATTACCTTACAAGGTCCTGTTTTAATGTGTTCAGGCGATATTTAAATAAATTTTAAAAGTAAAGTTTACCTGTACACCTGTATATATGTAATAAAGTACAGGTCATTTTCTGGCAAATTATACATGTATTCTGCCCAAGGGAAATTTTGTTATTTGGTTTAAATAATATTTTATTTTCAGATTTTCATTTACAACATACAAAAATTATAAAATTGAAAATGGATCTGGCAACAAGATTATATATCTTATATTAAGCCATCTCCATTTTGTTATTTGGAATTGAACAATATTTTAAAACCAAACTTATCTCTTTAAGGTATCTCAAATGTACGATGCTTGTTTAACAGTAAGATATTCAGTATTTCGAGAATGATGGTAACATCTTGTGCCAAATACAATATGTCCGATGAGGCAGAAACTTCGGTCATGTGACGTTATGTAGGACTTCTAGGAAGGTGCTTGAGAGTACAAAGCTTACTGATGAATGTAAAGTTGAGTACAAGAAAAAGTGATATTGTGATAAACTATCAACAATACAACAGGGTGTGATAGCCGTATAAATATTAATTGTGTTATAGAAATATGATTGCACAGA